AGCATTTGCAAAACTTTTCTAGACGGGACCCATGTTACCACTAAGTGGATGTAGGGTGATGAGCATCAGCAACTGAACAAAACTTGGTACAATGTTAACTTGGGTAGCAGTCACGCTACTCCCTGCCAAAGCATGTTTAAATCCATGACTGGTGCAGTGTCCGCCGTAGAAGTGAAAAACTGTGTTCTGTTTGGCCTCCTTAAGCAAAGACATGAGAAAACTTTAGAAGCCCTGTCAGCGTGATGCTTCTTCAGTAAATTACTGATGCCTTTAGAGACTGCCATTTCACCTGTGAAAGAATCCCTTCAAATTAAAGAGTGCTACTGTATGGTGTAGTCATTGCTCTCTTTGCATTACACATGTAGTTTTTACGGATGCCTTGAAGCTCTCGACACCGACAAGGATTATTCTGATCTGGTATAATGGCTTCATACCTTGTTCACATTCAGCTTGTCTCATTGGCTTAAACATTTGACGCCTCAAATGTAACTGACAGGCATATTGGTCTTTAAAACCCTAGCTTTTTCACAAAGACCTGGGTTGAAATTTTGGCTTAAACCACAAGTAAAATGAGTTTAATCTCCAGTGACTCTGCAAATCCTTGTTGCTTGCTTGTAATCTATTTGGCATGACTAGTTTTGGATTAGGGGAGACCTCCAACTGGAATATCCTGGCATTGCTCCAGGATTGAGGAGCATTATAACCCATCAGTATGGGATGCTTGCACTGTCTCTGGAACTAGCCAGTGTTAGTCCCCCACTTTTCATGGATAATAAAACAAACCTCTCCAGAAAAATTGTGTGGGGGGAGAGAGGTGACACTACCACAGTTTGGACTGAGCATCTGCTTCCAGTAACTTTTAAATAATGATTAGAAAGACAGTGAAACTGGTAACTCAGTGCTCCTGGTAGGGTCTGATACACCTGAATGGCTCCACCTTGATGCTTATATTTAATGCTTTGCATTTGAACAGTGATACGCTTTAGGAAAGAACAATTCACCAAAAGCGTGCCCTATAATTACATCAGAAAAGGGGGGGGGAGAAGGGAGTTAAATGGACTAACTACAGGTTTGAGATTTTAAGATCGTTCTCTTGTAATTAGAGTATATTACACTCCAGAGTGGATTGGGCTGCAGATTTTACTAGATTTTATACACCTTTTCTAAATGTAAAAATCATCTTTAGTTGGGAAATACTGAAATCTTTGTAATACTGGCTAACTTTTAGCTGGCCAACTGTCCAGTTCATTCTGTCCCCGTAGCTGGCATTACTAAACCTGAAGGGTGCACGGGGGATTTACAGGAGTGTAATATGCCCAGCTGCCATTCAGTATCCAGACAGCTAAGCTAGACTTCAGTAGGTGCAGTTGATACTATGATGAGTGGGTCAGTTCTCTTAACTTGCGTATTGACTCAGCTGGTTGACCAGGAAGGTGATAGAGATCTATTCCTGTACTAAAAATATGTATAAATTAAAATGAAATTATTTTTCCAATCTGATACCTGGCTCAGACTGTAGCTACCTAATGTGCAGACTTCAGTGCAAGTCACAACTGCGTCAAGTTTTCATGGGGGAAGGACTGGCAAACATGTTTGCAACACTGTGTTGGATTTAACTCATGTAACATGGTCAATCGATCTCACTTTGATAGCTATACTTCCATCAAGACAATAGGCAGCACAATGTCTCTTTCTCGCATATTGTAAATGAGACTATTTGTGCCTCCTAGCTGCCTGAGAGTGTTTAGAATGTGCGTGTTGTAATAGTCATGGTACTTTTCTACCATTGTAATGCGCTTCAGGATGTTCAGCTATTTGGAGTGCTGGACTGGTTAACTACTGGACTGTTCCATTTCTCCAGGTTACACTGAGGTGCTAACATGTCTAATTTTAATAAAGTCTATTTTGTTTTGTTATGTTTCCTATTTCAGTGCTGTGTAATATATGAATGGTGCCTAGAGGGCCTGTCTTTACAATACCAGAGGTCTAGTTCGTATTTGCAAAGTGTCCTAGTCTAAACCAGAACGTGGCACTGTGCACTTTAATACAGACCGAGGTGATCTTCCAAACATCATGAGTATAACAACCGACTTGCTGAATCTGATCTAATCCTATGTAATGCAGTCTCACCACAATTAGTACTTTCAAAGCGTGTCATAGGTGAGGTGTCTCACTGCCTTACAGACTGACTGTAGCCTCATCGTACTGTTGTGGGAGAAGGTAGGCATTACCTCCAGAGGGGCTGTAAGGAAAGCTGGGAATGGAGTTGGTCACCTGCAGCCTCAGTCCTGTACTAGTTTTCTCAAAGTTTATCTATTTTATTTGAGAAGAATGTGTCAAGATACTTCTAGTGCCTGAAGGACCTTTTGTTATTGATTCCCACTGTTGCAAATATGGATATAGCCCATGTTTTCCAGTTCAAATTAGGTTTCCCCTGCATGCACGTCTGCCTTCATGCCCTTTGGTTGCACTTACTCTTCTGCTGAGAGTTCAGATACGGCTTCACTGCCACTTCCTAACGTACTCAATAGCTGCCTCTTACTCGTCTGGATTCTGCGTTGGGGGCTGAGGTTGTTGATCACACAGCACTGCCTGTCAGATTGAAATTGGGAGTGGTCCTGTTTTCAGTACAGGGAGAGTACAGGAAGAGTCTTGCAAATGCCACTGCACTGAGAGAAGTTATGTTCACTTACCTGTGCACATTACCCTTTGGTCTCTTAAAGTCTGCAATTAAAACCCAATGCTCAATTTTTGTAGTGGATTTGCCCCCCCCACAAATTCCTAAACTAGTCCCCTAGAATCTCTGGTAAAGAAGAGTGAAAGATGCAAAGCTGGCTGTTGCTTTTAGATTTTATCTTATTACATTTACTTTCCCTATAACTTCTCCAGAATGAAGGTAAGTGGGCAAGGGTAATGCAGTAGCTCTATAAAACAGCACCTTAGGCGTGGCTCACTATATTCCTGTCTCAGTTCACTGCTAGGAGCAGTTTTCCTTTTGAAAATAGAAGAGGCAAGCGCTGCTGGCATAAGCCCAAGTGCCACTTGTACACCTACACTTATGCTAGCAGTGAGAGAGGTCCTGGAGGCTAAAATTAGGCTGCCAAAAAAGGGATTCAAGTCCTGGACCTCCATGGCAGTAGTCTGAAATGCTTCCAGTTTCTTGCACAGTTAGGCAGAACTGCAGAGTCTCACTGTGTGGATGAGACAATGGTATTGGGAGGGTGGGATTTAGGTTAATTAGGAACAGGAATCTTTTGGAAGAGGAGGAGCATATACAGAAGGATGGGTTCCACCTAAACCAGAACAGAACCAGATTGCCAGCATGTAAAACTAAAAGGGTTGTAGAGAAGTTTTTACACTAAGGGCTGGGGAAAAGCTGACCGGTGTGGAGGAGCACAGAGTTCAATCAGACATCTCTTAGGGGAGCATTTATTAAAGGGCAATTGCCCAGACCCCTCCATGAAGACAAGTGCAAGCTGATGCATATTGAAGGAACAATTCCTCCGTTTTGAGGAGTCCCAAGCATAACAGCTGCAATCAGTCTGCTGTAAGCAAGGGAAGTGAATAGGCACCTAGGAGCCTGCATCTGTGAATTCACCCATAAGGGCCAGAAAGCAAAGGGGTAAATCACCAACCACAGCCAGGAGAAAGTATTGCTTTAATCCATCACATTTACAATGCCAGTGCACAAATGTCATCTCTTCTATGCTGATCTCGGCTTTTGATTTTGTCTAAAGCCACTTGGGAGCTTGTTCTCAAACCTTGCTTAATCCCATTTTGTCTTTAAAAACAAGTATTGCCCCCTGCAGGGATTAGCTAGAGAGGGAAGAGAGATTACAACACCTCACCTCTAACCAGCAACCTCCCAGCCACTACAGCATTGTTCCCTGCAGGATATTTCACAGAGCTCTGCCCAAACTAGTTTTCAGTGGGTTTCTGCTGGAAATCCTTCTGTTCCAGGTTTGCACCCAGGCTTCCCACCCCCTGGCACTTT